GAGGGAAAATGGTGCTGATGACTTGTTGGGCCACTGCCAGGGCCAGCGCAGAGCCCAGTGTAGCTCAATCTTGGCCGTTTCGGCCCGCAATAGTGCCTGTCGCCCATGTCAGCAAAAACTCTTGAAACGTGCTCTAATCGGTAGGCTGGGGCGGTTTGGCACTCTGCGGCGCTGTACATCGGCCGCCGTTGCTGTTTCCGTGAGATCGGTGAGCACCGTGTTCGGTTCTGGGTCGTTCTGGCTGAAGTCGTTGGCACTTGTAGCGCCAATGGTGCTAGGAAACAGGCCAGCCGCTGGCCCTGCGCTCGCCGACATTTGTTACGCGAAACTCGAGGCCAGCAGGCTAAATTCCCACGCGTTCCGCCTGAGACTCTCAGGATACAACGGGGCAATGCTCCTTTCTACGTCCTAGAAATCTCAGGCGGAACAAGCCGGCGCCTGGGTCTGCGCGGCCCTCCCTTTGTTTTCAGAAACGAGTGTCGTTCCGAGTCCGGCAAAGCCTTCCGAAGAGAGCTAAGTTCCTGTGCTAGCTCGTCCATCTTTCGTGAGCGGTCTAGTATTGCGAAATGCAGGCGTTGAATGGTGCCTGCTGCCCCTGGGTAACGCAGCAAGACTTCAGCTAGTGCAGGAACTCACACACTGGTGGTCGGAAACTTGAAACCGTCATCTGTTCTGGACTTGATGATGCGTGAAACCACTAGGGCTGTAACGGGCTGTAATGGCAAAGAACGGTGGCCCCGGTCTAGAGAGTTCCGCCGCGGCAAACATGTTTTACGCGTGCATTCCCTCTTCCCAAACGTCGAACGATGACGCGTCACCATTTGTAGGTGTTTTCAGGACCTTAAAAGAGGCTCAAATGTGTTGAATGTTGAAGCCAGCCGCGTATTAAGCATCTTGAAGATGTCAGAGTGAGGTTTGGAGCAAAAGATTGTCGTCGCAGGGAGAGGAAAGCTGTGTCATGACGTAACGTGAGACAACTTGAAATTATGACATCATTTGTTCTTTCATCTTACTGCAATACAGTGAGGATGCCGTTGGTACGCGGTAGGTACGAGCCAACCACGCGGCCGGCCACGCGGCCAGTCCGCGTGTTCCGGCACGCCGCAGCCCGTGCCCCTAGTGCATGCATGCCTTCCAGGCCTCGTAGGTATTGGGGAGGGGATCTTTTCGGTAGACCGCGTTCGTAACGGCCCGAAGCATGCCGTTCTTGGCGACGCGGATGAGATTGACGTCGTCGTAGTGTGCGACTTTGTTGAGAGAGTCGAGTACGGTGAAATAACTGGTTGCATCCATGTCCTTGGTTTGAACGTGGGTTTCCATCTTCTGCTGCGCGATCTCGGCGTGGGCCTCCCCTCGGAAGGCCGTGATGAAGGCTTTTTTGAAGCCTTCGTACGTCGTGTAAGCTTCGGCGGTGCGGAGCTTCATGGCTTGGGAGACGTTTTCTTTCCACGTGACAGTGTTTCCTCCTTTGATGTAGGAGAGCGCGTACGAAATCTTTCGTACCTCGTCGTTGTAAACATTCGCGTTGGCTTCGAAGACCAACCAACAATCTGCCAGGAAGGCGTCTACTTCGCTGGCGTCGCCCGTGAACTCCTTAGGGGGAGAGACGGTTACTCGTGTATTTCCCCTGTGGGGCCGATGAGCCAAGTCTTCTCTGGCTTGGCAGAGCAGATCGTAGCTCTGCATGACTCCCTGCTGTACAGCTGTGTATTCCCCGTTTACTCGGGACAGCTCGGCCTCAAGGACCACTTGTCGATTCGCCAGGGCGGTGTTTTCCGCCTTGAGTTGCTCCATCTCCTGATTCGTTCGGAACAGATGGGCGAACAGGAACTCCTGTTGTTCGTTATGGCCCATGGCCATGAATTGGGCACGCTCGTCCCCCTGGTTCGCGGGGGTGCCCATCGTACTGTCGTGCTCGGTAGACATTTGTCGCGCTTCTTGCGTTCGTAGGGGAGGCTAATATTCTGTCAACGTCGGGCTCGGGCCGTGTCGGGACGTCGGGGGGTCCGACTTCGAGAGGGTCTGAGGAGCACGAAAGATGGGTATTCGCCCGGAGAATAGACGATATTAGCCTAGCGACTACAGCTTGTAAGTACAGTTTTTATACACTACGATACACGGCACATTGCCTCAGTGACCTTCGACTCCTTGCCCTTCAGAGCTATGCGTCGGGACGCCGCATTCAAAGGGGGGGGTGATATCAGGGGAACCCCCGCTTCGGCCTCCTTCGGACCCTCCGAACGCATCCGACCGGCGCCCCTTCAGACGCTCTGACCTGCCCCGACCATTGTCCACGGCCTCCTTCGCCCGCACAATCACCGATCCGTCAAGACCCTCCCAACGATCACCTTGGGACACGGCCTGCAACGCCGCACAGGCCTTCTGTGCTCTACGTCGGCAGTTACGGACGACCAGTACATAGTTGGCGCCCTAGCAGGCGGACCCTTAGAGTTTCTTCTCTTTGGATCCTCCCCTGCTAGGTCGGTCCCTCCATGTATTTCCCGTAGCTCTTATTCTATATACTGCGCTCTTGACGCGTCAAATTCGATCGTTGCTCCGTGCAGTATGCCTGCGCCATGTCGCACGCCAGGTCCCAGGGGGATCGCCAGGCAGGGGCGGCGATGCGCCTGATAAAGGCGGAGTCGGGGCCAGAGTTGGAACCGGAGTCGGGGCGAGTCTGACGGGCCAAGGAACCGAAGTCGGGGCGGGTCCGGCGGGCTGGAAAAGGGGTTCCCCTGACAGGTAGTTCTTCAGACGATCTAAGCGATAGAGTACAGGGTACACTATCGCGCCTTATATACGCGGGCCCGCAAAGGGGGTGATCGGACACCCTGGCCTCTCCTGCTCCTCAGATAGAGTACAGGGTACACTATCGCACCTTATATACGCGGGCCCGCAAAGGGGGTGATCAGACACCCTGGCCTCTCCTGCTCCTCGGATAGAGTACAGGGTACACTATCGCACCTTTATATACGCGGGCCCACAAAGGGGGTGATCGGACACCCTGGCCTCTCCTGCTCCTCCTTGCCCCCATTCCTGGCCGCAGAGGGGACGATCGTACATCCCTTGCGGGCCAGGCAATACTCCTAACCTCCTAGCACTCCTCCCCAGTCCCCTTGTGTTGAGTTGGGCTCGGCGACAGCTCGACACATCGTTCTTGGTCACGTGCTTCCCACATGTGCCTTCCTCCTACTGGGGTGCATGTTCCCCGTTGTCACGTGCTGCGTGCTACGGGCCCGCGGTGGCCCAACACCAGCGCCGGAGCGGACGGGCCGGGTATTATCTGTGACAGGGAGACTGTCAGGGTGCGGTGACGCGGCGCTTGATGGGGTCAAGTGACGGCATCAGGGTTTCCCCTGACATGGCCTTCCTGGAGATGATAATATTATTGCCCTTTGGTCCCAAGCATTAGCATATGTTACTGTATTATACTCAGTTACTTGAATCCACATATCTTGATGGTTATGATAAGTTATGTATTTTTAGGAAATGAATATCTGGGCATATCAAGACTCTAGCTAGTAAATAGACTATAGAATAGGGCTTGGTTTTATAAAAAAATTTGGCCTTAACAAACGGTTTGTAAAAAAATCTTCCCAAAACCCTGTTTATCAACTGGTTTTTAGGTTTTATAAACACTTCAGGCTAAGCAGCCCAACTGTGCCTTGGGCAATATAATTTTGATATATTTGTCAAGGTGAAATACTACTAATAGTGGCCCCAGGCGAGGCCCAGGAGTTTCCCTTCAATATCTACTATCTCAGCTAAATTTTATAGTGTAAAATACATTTTATGGCAGAGATGTCACACTTTGGCTAACTGTCACACTAGTGTCACATTGTTTACAAACACCCTCTTCCCAGAATGCCTGTTTATAAACATCCCTATATAAACCAAGCCCTACTATAGAAAGTGCATGTTCAGGTTACATTGAGTTGTTAGCTAAGTTTTTCCTGCCTGTTGTAGACCACACCCATTTTTATCTATTGATCTATTTATTTATTTTACTTATTTGGTTTTATTTAGTTATTTTTTAGAACTGGTCACAGCAATAATTAGCAATAATTATCATTTCTGCTATATGTGTCACAGCTTCAAAGAATTTCCTGATCCAGATAGAAAATCATTTTCTCTATTTACAATTTTTCTTACTAAGAAATTGCAGGTTACCATTCCCAATTAGGAATCTTTCCTGTAAGGGTATTTTGATCCACCCTTGCCATGATCCAGGAAATTGATGGTTAGTGATGTTTGATTCTAAAATATGTTATGGAAAAATATTTTGACCCTGGACTTTAGCACACTCAGTACAGTCATTTTTTCATTTTCAATGTCAGTTGCTATTGGTTTTTTTTTCAGCACTCAGTTAGGTGTATGTGGTTCAGTTCCAAGGTTCAGCATGGCAAAATCATCTGTGTTTCAGCAAAGAAGAATAAATAATGAAAAACTTATATGTTACACTACCACGGTGATGGGCTGCAGGGCACTGTGCACGCGAGGGGTATGGCTACCGCTCGGCGTTGACACCGGAATCATTGACCAGCGTCCGGCACAGAGCTTGACGGGGCGGTGTGCGCGTGCCGCGGTCGAAGTACAACGAGACGAAAGGACCGTCACCGGCTGAAATTCTTGGATGGTTCCCAGCCTGAGTGTCTTTGGCCGGTGTGACAAGTCGCATTCCCTCCGAGAGGCTGATTCGCCTCCAGCTCTGAGCGAATGATGGTACTGGATGGCCATGGACTCGAGAATGAGTGATGTTAGTCATCCATCTTACCTGTGACAGACACAATACAATCTATTAATACCTGCGAATTTTAAGCTTTTGTAAATTCTGAATTTGAATTCAAGGCATATTGACCAATGACCACCTCCAACAAGTTGCTGACAACATTGTGTCAATGCCTTGAAAGTACTACTTAAATTCAAAACAATGCCAATATGTAAACACTGGCAGACTCGTTACATGCATAACACGCGGACACGACTAGTACTTACTTAATCTAGTAACGGGTAACAATGCTAGACAGACATCTTTCAACCCCAAACTCTGCGGGATATTGTTCTGGAAACCCTTCTTCGTTCATAAGATCCCAAAATGTTGGCATGTTGCGGTTTGCGAAGGCACAAGTCGTGTATTCCCAGTACTCAGGCATCCAGGTGGCCATTTCCCAGTCCACTATAGCGACAATTGTGGAGCCCTTGACAAGAATATTCCGCGGGGCCAAGTCACAGTGCGTGAACACGGTGCGATAGGGTCCGGCGCGCTGCTCGCAAATGCGCAGAGATTCCTCGTGTTGAGGAAAGCGCGCACGCACCTCGCTCCGAGTCATCAGCCAGTCATAGCCTAAGAACTCCTGGAAGTCTGTGACCGACGCGAAAGGGCCACAGCCCTCAGCGTTGGTGCGAATGTGGAAGTCCTTGCAAGCGGTGCCATCTATGGCTTCTACGGCACCAGGATGTGGGGGTGTGAGCGCATGGAGTTGTTTGAGGTACCCGTGAAGCTGACGCACGACGTCACGTTGCTCCTCAGAAGTCATAGTTCCCCAAACCCGCTCCAGCTCCTTGCCCTCGATGTACTCCATGAGGATTCTGAGGTGACCATCGCGGTTCTTGAAAACACCATGGACGCGGGGGACCGGATTGTCGTCCTTGTGGCAATATATTCGAGGTTGAGGGCCTCAGTATAACGAATCTCCGACCCTGATTTGAAGGCTAGATTCTTGCTAACGCGCGTGATTGACTCGTAGCTCCCATAGGTCCGGTGCCCCAGTCCAATGCGGAGTTCCAAGTACAAGGAGACGAAAGGACCGGCTTGAATTCGCGGATGGTTCCCAGTGCCATCTTTGGCTGTTGTGACGCGTTGCATTGTTTCTGAGAGTCTGAGTTGTCTCCGGCTCCGAACGTAATACCAGTTGGGGGTGAACTCGAAGATGAGGGATGTTGGTTAAAAGTTAAAAACGATTGTCAAGTCACGCCACTGCCACTGACATCCATCTTACACGTGTGCGCGTACACGTGTGCGCACACGTACACCACACGCACACGCACACACACACACAGATGCGAACGCTGACAATTGCAAAAGCTTTTCTTCTGAACAAAAAGAGTGCATTCGATCGCGCCCTAAGGTTGATTGAGTGATTGTCTGAGAAATTACAATCATTTGACTCGCAATTATCCTCACTGTATTGGAACAATAAGCTGAAGTGCTGCAGCTCATGGTTTTTATTGTGGCTTCCAAACCTATTTCTTCATTGCCAAGACCGTGACTCAGCGATTCGGAAGTTGCAATTGTTCTAATTATCTGCAACTTCTTTACTAGGGAATGACACGGGTTTCCTTATATGGCAATTTTGAAGTTTAACCTAGACTTATGACTGATAAATGAGATATTATTACTTTGGCTGTACTATAAATTTCTATTAACAGTAATGTAAGCGAAAATTTAATATAACAATAAGATTGTTAGATGGGTCTGTTTCTGAGTCAGTTTGAAGTTGTGGTTGAAGCAGCATCTGAACTTTTACTCAGATGTCAAATATAGTACCAGAAAGTATAGTAACAAAGACTCAGAAAATTTCTCATCTGAGAGAATTTGATTTTATAACACCTTGTATGACCCACAGATGCTGCCTATATAGGCCTCTGAGAAAACTCAATAGTATACAGTATATACTCTATACTACAAAATTTTTGCCACCCTGTATATATATATGGATTGTATTGGGTTATAACCCAATATATTGAGTATTGTATTATATTTGGTTGGAGCCTTAGGGCCAACCCGCGGGACTCGGACTCAGAAGTTCGACCATTTATTGTATTTCTTTACTCAAATGAGGACTATAAAAGCTAGAATGTTCTCAGATCTAGTGCCAGAAACATCTCAACCCAATAGGGTGCTGTGAAGAAATCCCCAGCATATACTCACACATGTTTCTAACAGTTTTTTAAAAACCGGGTGTTTATAAACGCATTTCAAATGTGACTACACTAAAAGACCTCGTCATTGATATCGTCGTCAAATACTGCATCTACAGCTTTCTCCTTGCCTTTCATAGTGCCGACCACACCCGGATTGGTGACCGTCTCAGCACTGAGAAGCGGAGCATCGCTCAAAAGGTCACGAAACAGTGCATCCCCGAGGTCAGCGATGTCCTCTGACTCAAATCGTGTCGACTCGAGACTTGGAATTATGTCAGCGAGAAGATCGGTGGCCAGGGTACGCGCATTGAGTGCATTAAGGCCAGCCGCAGCAGCATCGTTTCCGGGCTCACTACCAGTGCCAGGCGTAAGATTAGAGTCAAGAGTGAGGTTGATTGCTGTAGTTGGCTCCGTTGATGTCGATCCTTCTGAAGGAGCAGACGAAGGTGCCAATGGGGAGGGCGACTGCTCTCTCGAGAAGAACTCGCTTTTGATCGACCGCCAATTGAGGCGAGGCTGAACTGGTGCCTTGCGCTCGCTATCCCGTCGACGAACATGTTGCCGCACTTGGGTAATGGCAACAGTCGTGGCCGCATCTTGCCGATTTCGGTCTTTAGTCGACAGCTTCGTGAAGACGGATACCGTTCGTTCCTCGGGCATTGAGGTAGGCATGATAGCGAACATTTTGAGTGCCATATGCTATAGTAACATTTGTGAGTTCTAAGGTTAAATCGAATGAATCTACACTTACGGCGAGCACAAATGCGGCAGGTTCATCGAGGAGTGCCTGCCAATAAAGGTAGGCACGTGTCCAGGCAGGATTAGGCCGATTGAAGGGAGCTTGCTGACGCGTAAACCCCTCGAGTTGCGACCGAAGTGCCGCAATAACTGCCTTACGGTCAGAATAGTGGGAAAACCCTTTTGAGCCTTTTAGATTTGGCCGGGCATTGAGCTCTGCCTTCAGTCGTTCCACCAGGAAACGCCCCACAACCTCGTAGGCAGGCATCTTCCGTCTCAGATCCGCATCACCAGTTTCCGCTGGCTGTGCATCGGAGCCACCCTCGGCTGATTCTGCAGCAACGAGAAGATTGCCTGATGAGCGGCGGAGGATATTGCTTGCAATGTATTCTGGCAAATGCATGAGCTACTGGTTGACGCGTGAAGAAGGGCTTCTGACCCGGATCAAGAAAGAATCCCGTCAAGTAAGCGTCAGTACCACCAATCAGCTGCTGGAAACGAGTATTAACAAGACGACGAATCTCCGCGATCACATCATCAGGGATTCCTAGAGCGTTTTCCGCAAACGTGTCACGAAGCACGGGAGTAATAGCCACGTAGAACTTCCAGACATCACCGAGAGTTGTTGTCAAGCCTTCGAGACACTTGATGGCGCGAGCGATAGGCTCGAGAACAGTGACAAGCTGCTCTAGATTGAGTTTGAAGCTATTATAGAGAGGGACCTTTTTGAAGAATGCAAGCTTTGACTGCTCCTGACATGTGGGTGAGCCATCTACTCTAAGCGTAGCAATTGAATGACATACCTCAGAGCCTTCGGCGCGTACAATACCAAGCCGAACTAGCTCATGGATTGCTGGTAAATTTCGTAGAAGTGCATAGCCCGACCAGTACATGGTCCCAAACCGTGTTTTTCCGACGGTTTCGAGTCCTTTCGTGATGTCCATGATGACACGCAGCGCCTTGAGGTGGGTACCAGCATAGGTAGAGCTTGAGAAGAAGCCGATGACTGTTCTCATCGACTCGATACCCTGTCATAATGCATATCAGTTGGCGGAAAGTCAGTAAATAGTTGGAGAAATATACCGTTTCGAAATGCGTGAGCTTGCATATATCCTTAATGAGGTTTGAAAGATGGTGTGGCGCATCTGCAAGAGCGATAATTGTTGACTTTCTGGATATGTTCACCCGTGTGTGAATCTCCAGAAGACTCGTCGGCCAGCATAAGAAATGGCTCACGCAGCTTCGGCGTCGTAATATGCCCAGTGTAAATTGACTGCCCAAAGACAGTGCTTCCATCGTAAGACAGTGTCAGGTTGCTGATTGTGCGAAGACGTTTTGTATTTTTGGTGGTGATCGTGGCGGCCTCGCGATGAATGTAGTCGGTCATAGTGGTCGACGAGTAAATACCGGCATATGGGTTGAGATGTTTCGCGAACTTCTTGAAGGTTTGCTCGTCGACATGGCGGATGGCTTGTCCGGTAACGGCCATAAACTCAAGCAGGTAAAGGTTCGCCTTGTTTTGAAACTTGACAATTGCTCCTTTGCGCTCCTCCTCCCCCAGGCCACGAAAGGGATCAAAGTATGGATTCTTCGTCTTTGTCGCATCACCCTGATCATGAGTCCCTGCATTTTCGTTATCCCCTTCGTCCTCGCTGCTCGATATTTCGTTGGACAACGCCTTCTTGCTATTGGCAACAAGGGCAGCACGTCGCTCGGCAGGTGTCAAGTATGGGCAGTTTGACGCATGTGGCAGGATGCGAGAGCCTTGTCGGGGATTTGCCCAGCTTTCCTGACAGCCCGGGCCAGCGCAACGATGGCGTTGAAAGGGCTTGTTGGTCTTTGGGTTTATTGCCTTGATGGTTTCGCAGTAGATCGTCAACTGTTCGAGCAATGGGTCCGCAGCACGTCCACGATTGTTGCGAGCTGCTGGAACAACGTCGATCAGGTCTTCAAAGGGATGATTAACCTGGCGAAGAAAATCTCAGCTAGAATAAGATGTAAAGAAAAGCACGCACTGCTCCTTGACGTGTGAGTGCTGCCGCTACATCTGCAATTGCTTCTTTCTGCTGCTTATCCCTCTCGTCGTCAATACGCTGTCGTTTCTCGACCTGTTGCTCATCTTCATCCTCCTCCATAAGCCGTCTTGCTGCTGTACTCTTCCGCTTTCGTTTCTACCAGGGGAAGATTAGCTACAGGCCAATCATAGTCAGCATGACACTCACCTGCTCCCCTGCACTCTCGATTGCATGCTCTGCCGCCGCCGTGAGGTCGTCCACCCATTTGGTAAGGAGCTCATTTTGTCCCGCTGACCCGGTGATGTACTGGCGCAATACGACGGTGACGGCTTCAAGCCCAGGGCCGCGCGACTTGAATTCGATGAGCTTGCCTCCTGCGCGAGTCCCAAACGACCTCTCCAGGTCTTGATGAACAACACTCTTCTCGCATCCAGTTTCAAGGACCGCGGCTTGACGAAGGGTATGTGATGAAAAGTCGTGTGTGTTACCGAGGGGGATGGATTGGGGAAGGTCCTTGAGAAGGCCAGCGAGGTTCCGAATCTCGTTGCTGTAGTGCAATGCTCCGAGCTTCTGAGTCACGACTGGCTGACGAGTATTGGCCGGCCGACCTCCGGACTTCCGACGTGTCGACATGGGAGAAGAAGCAAGGAAAAAAAGGAAAGAAGCCGTGTGGCTGTGCATGATCTGACGGCTGTTTATAAACACTGACAAGCCAGGATGAATTCAAAACTAACGTGTTTTTAAAAACTAGTTAATAACTGGTTTACAAACCAGAGTTCTTCACAGCACCCTACAACCCAACCAAAGCATTTCGAGTCACCACTGGCCACTGGCAGGCGCTTCGGATAGTATGAATGTCCAACTTTTCGGAATGAACAAACCACGCCTTTACTTATCTCGCTTTCTATGCTAGGAACAAGGACGACTCAGCTCGTACTTCGGCGACGTAAACTTCAAGTTGAAGGTCATACCAATGGGATCGTAGCGTGCAACCGAAGATACTTACGTCTGAAAGGGATTGAGTATGAAAAGGAAGGAGAAGCGATGAACCTGCTGTCACTGGTTCAAGGTGCGTCGTATTCAGTGAGACTTTTTGAGCTACTTATCTTATCTGTAAAATGACAGGCTTCCTTTAGAATTGGTCTCACATCTGACGACCTCCGCACGCTCAACTCGATTCGGCCTCGACTAGTAATGGCTTTCGTGCCTGTTGCCACAATTTCTCATTTCCATTACTAAATCCTTTCGACCCACTGCGGAGTTTCCTTTGCGTCCTTTTGCGACCGACACTGTGACCTTGCGGGGGTAGCTGATTTCTGGGCAGAAAGCGAGAGTCAGTCAATTAAGTCGGTATACTCTCGTTGGATACAGTGCTGCGATCTAAACAGTTACAGTTCGTTGAATTCGCGATGTGTATGGTGGGGAGCGTTTGATGCGTGTATGAAGATATCAATTTGAGTATAGTATTGTCCCAAATTCATGGAGTAGCTCAAACGAAGAATCAAAAGTCAAGATACACTACTTCTGCCAGATCCCCCTGCAGCAGTCCATTCGAGTAGAAAGACCTCGGGCTCCAGCTGTACAGTGATTTGTTTCAACCGGGCGCACCGTTCAATTAGTTGTGTCTGCAATGACTGGGTCGTTGGAAGGGAGGAATGAGTTAGGCCTTCTAGAGCTGTACATGTCAGAGTGAACTTCAAATGCGTCAAGCTCGGCGGAAGGAGCGACGGAAGTCCACTAATGAAGTCAGATATCTGGAGGAAATGTGAGAGAGAGGCAAAATGTAGAGATACAGAGAACTGTTACCTGTGCGGTCAGGACTGCTGGCTCTTCCGCCTCCTCAGGCTGGAAGCATCCAGAGCAATTTAAAACTTCAAGGGATGAGAAGGGTAGCAGAAGCGCCGGCCACATGTCCAGTTTCCCTTGGCGGACGCCGTTGAACGTGAGTGTGGTAATCGTAGACGGGATGTGTTTCTCGACGCGTTGCAACACTGCCAGGAGATCGGAGGCGTTGCTCTCCGTAATGTGCAGACTTTTTATTGAAGATCCTGGGAGAAGAACAGGCAGCATCGCACACGGTGTACGCAGCTCGCGCAAAGCACCAAAATGTTGCAGAGGAGTACACAGCGGTGGTACAGCTCGGAGGACTTCCTCCTTGGGATCGAATTTCCACGCAGACGTGAGATGGAGCCTCTGCAGCGCTGGAAAGCAGCGCTTCATAAGCTGCCAATTGGACTCGCTTAGGTCTTCAAGCGAGTGAAACTGCATGTCGATTGCCGTCACCCGCGGAAGGACTATCTTCTCAGACTCGGAGTCCTCCCCATCCACTGCTTCACAGATATTCCAGTCGATTGTCCGAAGTGCCTCCGGCTTGCAGACACTCAGCCAACTCCACGGGGCCTTGATATACTCTAGTTTCAAGGAGGATACGCGGACAGTGTTGGCGAGTGCAATGGGGTTGTCGCCTGGGCCAACTTGGAAACAGCACGTATCGAGCTCCAGCGAGAATGGGCGGGGAATAGTAGCAAGGTTCATCAGTGTGGAGCGGCTGAATATGACTGCCTGGGCAGTTAGGCTCTGCAGGCGGACGAACTTGTGGAGGGCGGAGAAGAGCAAGTCTCGCGGCAAGTGTGTGCCTTCATCGCCATGTGAGATGTAGTTCCGGTCATTACGCGCATACACATGCAGCACGCGAACATGCCGCGCAACCCCATGCGACGTGAAGAAAACCAGTCTTTCCATGGTTTCGTTGTATTGGTCAGACCCGTCCAAGAAGCGACGACTTGCACCAGGAGCCATCGAATATACGAAGACATGAGCTTCGCGGTAGAGGAAAGGTCGGACAAGCATACGAAGTCGGCGCGAAGCCAGAGCGACCGACTTCAGGTGTCTCGGAGGAAGATGTTGAAGTGTTTCGTGGAAAAGTTCATTAGGGAGCATGAAGTGTCGTGGGTGGGTGGGCGGTAGAAATGGTGAGAGAAGAAGGGACAGATGCATCATGCATGCCACGCACTGGCACACGTGGCCTCAGCCAACCGGTGTTAGCACGGCGGTAACCAATCAACCTATCTCTACCTCGTTTAGTGTCTACCTGCAGCCCCGTGGCATCTCTACGAGTACGGACTTGGATGCACGTTCAAGTTATCGTGAAGCCTCGAGCGCTCGACTGCCAGTGTACACGGTCATGGTCATTCGAGTCCAAGTGTTTGAGGCTTCGAGCAAGCGCTGGCCAGCCGGACTTCATTTAGAGCTTATCGGATTCGCAACCACTCACGCTATAAAGAACCGGGGCAGCAAAAAAACTTGATGTTCGCAGATGTGAACACCGAAAATCCATGAGCGCTCTCAGGCTGGTGCTGCCACGGCCCACGAGTGATGCACATGTATC